CCCCGCTCAGAGCAGCTAGAGAAAAGCCCGCGTGCAACAACGAAGACCCAACGCGGCCAAAAATAAATAAATAGATAAATAATTTTAAAAAATAATAAATAAATTTATATAAAAAAGAACGTTATCTGAATGAAACCATACAGTATCTGATTTTTAAAAAAATTAATGTCTTAAATAATAAAAATAATACATGTCACAGTAAAAAAAAAAAATCCAATAGTTCATACAGGTATAACATGAAAAGAATTATTAGTCTCTTAATCTTGCCCTAGGCTCACACTACCCTCTACTCTATGCATTCTTCTAGGAATGTTCTGTGCGTTAACATCTGTCTTTTTAAGTTTAAAATGTTTTCAGAATTTGAAAGTCCAAGAGCTTTTTAAACGGTCATAATTTCAGAACAGGAGAAAACAGGTTGTGCCAAGTGACTTTTCTACAGAAAGGCAAGATAATCTTCACTCACCAAGATGCCCTGCCCTGCCCGGGCAAAGGACAAGACTCGCTGAGCTAACACGGCACAACAGAAGGCTCAGAATACATACAACATCTGACCGAAGACCTGCGAAGTTTTAATAACGAACTATAACAGAATAATTACCTGGAGTTTGGCCACACATGGGAAGGGAAATGTCCTAACACACCAAAGAAGTGACTATCATTCAGGAAACACAGCTGGGAAATATGTTACACCTGATTCAGGCTACAGCAAAACTGCAAGTCAGGAACCATCAAGGACCTACTGTATAGCACAGCGAACTCTACTCAATATCCTGTGATAATTTACATGAAAAAAGAATCTAAAACAGAGTGAGTATATGTATATGTGTAACTGAATCTCTTTGTTGTACACCTGAAACTAACACAACGTTGTAAATCAACGACACTCCAATAAAATTTTTAAAATAAATATTAAAAAAAAAAGACTGCAAGTCAGTAACACAGATTAGAACAAATGATCTTGTGTCATAAAAGTAAATGTGTGTGTGTGTATTCTAAAGACTATGGACTTTGAAACCTCTATTTTTATTTTGCAATCCCTGCATTGTATAAAAAAATTTTTAATAAATGAATTTTTTATACTTTTTTTATACAGAAATTCTTATTTATTTATCTATCTATTTATTTATTTATGGCTGTGTTGGGGCTGTGCGCAGGCTTTCTCTAGTTGCGGTGAGTGGGGGCTACTCTTTGTTGCGGTGCGCGGGCTTCTCATTGCGGTGGCTTCTCTTGTTGCGGAGCACGGGCTCTAGAGCGCAGGTTCAGTAGTTGTGGCTCACGGGCTCTAGAGTGCAGGCTCAGTAGTTGTGGCGCACGGGCTTAGCTGCTCTGCAGCATGTGGGATCTTCCCAGACCAGGGATTGAACCCATGTCTCCTGCATTGGCAGGCGGATTCTTAACCACTGCGCTACCAGGGAAGTCCCTTATAAAATTTATTAAGTGCCATACCTGACCATCTTCCAACTCTACCCATCCCCTAACCACTAAAAACATTTTAAAACAATAATGGTAGAAGAAAGCACTAGGGCTCACCAAGTCACATGAGGATACAAAATCTGTTCAGAACCACATAGCACAAGAGAATAATTTTGGCAAAAGGAGAAAGAATAATAAAGTAGGTGTTCTGGAAGGTCAAGGTGGTTTTCAAAAACCAAAAATGCACTACCCAAACTTACCAATTTATGAGTAAAGAGAAGCACTCTGAAGATGTTCAACTAATCAACTAGCTATTCCATACCTAGACACCAAAAATAGAATTTCAACCCACCATAATTTCACAATTAATGACCCTGTCCACTTCTATCCTCAACAGTATCAGCAAGAGCTGAGGTCATAGGCAAAGTTTCTAACAGCTGTAAAATCCTAAACCTTGGCAATATAAATAATGCTGCATAAAGATCGTGATGCTGCAGGATCTGAACTCAGTGAAAGGCTGAGTTCTCCAGTGGGAATGCCTACGTTCAAATCCCAGCTCTACAGTTTACTAGCTACAATTCTGAGCAAGTTAATCTCTGGCATTCAGTTTACTACTATGCTCTCAATAATCTTATCTACCTAATAGGACAGTTGGCACACAAATAAGCACTCAGTCAACACTGAGTGTTGTTGAACTTTTGGCTGGTGGGCAAGCACCACCATGCATAAGCATGTTCATCTGTCAGCTAATGAAGGTCTAAATTCAAGAACAATAGTGGTTTAGGGATACTAATAAATTTAAACACAAAAGCAGAGGCTGTCCCAAAGTCTAGAGGTCAAAAGTCAAAAGTGCTGAAGTCAAGGACAGTCTTTCTTTTCCTATTTCTGTCAGTTTATATTAATTGCCTTGGAATTCCTAAAGAAAGTATTTTCTTATCTTCTTCCCATGTAACTATAACAAAAGCTACATAATTCTGGCTTCAGTTTTGAGAATATGATCTATCACATCTGTTTAACATATCCTGATGTTTACCAGCGTGAAACGGACTAGAGGTTTTCCTTATTGGATAGTTTCAAAACATTATTATTTCTAAGTGACTTATGGGACACCAAAGGTATTTTCTTTGGTCCTCAAGAACAATTTTAGAAATCCAATTATTCCTAAAAGTTAAAAAAGAAAAAATCTGCAGGCAGCTGCTGCAGAGAGCTGTAACCAGCCACCAACTGTGAACCCTGGATTCAGTTCTTACCCTCAAGCACCCTTACATACTCTGCCCTTTAAAATGTATACTGGAGGGCATGAGAATATGTAGCCCAGGGAAAATGGAAATCCACCACTCTCCATCTATGTGACCTTTGGCAAGTCAGTGTCTCCAGCTCAAAGTGAGGTGATTTCTAGCACAGTGGTTAAAAGAGTAAGCCTGGGACATTCCATAGGGGTTAAGATCCTAGCTTCATGTTAGCTGAGTGACCTTAGACAAATTACACATCAGTAAAGCCCCAGTTTTCTCATCTGTGGAAAGAAAAGGGGGAGAGAAAGGGAAGTGGGACTGGGGGAAAGTAGCCACCTTCGAAGGATGTGTGAAGATTAAATACTTAAGACCAAGGACAGTGACTGACATAATTAGCAGTCTATACACATTAGCTATTATTATTATTTCGCACCTCACAAGGTTGTTGTTGAAATGAGATGCAAGAGCAAAGCATCATACAAATTACAAAAAGCACTACCAATTGTACCAGAAACATAGTTACCCCTTCCAAAAAAGTTAAATGATCTCAGCTATGGAGAAGAAGCCTCCATTTAGTAACATCCACACTACAAACAAGAGGTCTAATTCTGCAAAAAACACTGAACTTGAAGCCTTCCTCACCATGAACTAAGCTAGACCAAGACCACACAACCATCTAACAGGAAAGGAAATACAAAAGGGACCACTATCCAATTATAGAACAACTCGGTTACTGAAGAGTTATTTCTCCCTGACTCAAGTATGTAATTTTTCATAACCGGGATAGCAGAATGCCATCAAGGTCTTAAAGCCTGAGGGTTGAGGTCAACGGTATGGAAGGGGATCCACTTAGCACGCGGAAGGCAAGCTGCGGAGAAAAACCAGAGAAGCTTCAAAAAGGAAAAGCCCTGCATGCCCCTCGACACGAGCTATTACAGTCGCTTCACCGTTATTTTGGGCCCAAGCCAACCCCCCCCCCCCCCC